TTTTAAAAATCAATATTAGTGCAAAGTTTTGAAAGTTATTTTTAAAAAAAAAAAAACCCATGGCATTATCAGTCATTAGAAGTACTTTTTCTTATTTGCTTCTTGAACTTTGTGTGTTATTTCAACTTTGGCTATTTCACTATTTCTTTGCTTGTTTTTTAGAAGGCATTTTATGATGCCATGCGGGAGACACTAGAAAGGGATAGCTGACAAGGAAAAAATTAAAAATTGGATAAAAAGTAAATGAATAATGTCATATTACTAAAAAGATGAGAGGCTAATTTGTGCCGACTTTTTGCTAATTTTGTTCAAGCCTCAAAATGAGGAGCTGTCACCCGTTCTGTGTAGCACTGATGACAGTGCCAATGATCCATGAAATAAGCTGCCGCTGGCTTTGTTCTGATAAGAATGAACAAATCTGCACAATGTTCGGCTCCCAGAATCTCATTTTCATACTTGCATGCAGGCTAAAAGAAATAAGCTGTTTGCAGGCTTGATTAATCAGACATTGGAGGGGTTTTTGTCTCTTTGATCTCTTTCGTCTCCTAGGTAACTTGCTTGACATTAATGTTGAGCTTGAGTAAAGACAATCAGGAATTGTCGACCAAACTGATATAAAAATTAAAGACCTTAACACTTTAAGTACTCCAGTAATGGTTCCGCTTTACTTCAGAAAACATCTGTTTTCATTTAATTAAAGAACAAAAGAGAATGGCATAAATATTTTTCGTACAGACCTATTATTCCATAAAAAGTTAAACTATGATAATTGGTATTTTTAAATAAGTGCCTTGAAAGTGTTCAAAAGGGAGGAAAACTTCATAAATCTGTTACAAGCTAATAATTTTGAGATGAGTAAAATATTTTATAAAATGGATAAGAAGTTTACAGTTACGCTGGATTAAGCTGTTTGAATCAGATTCTTCAAATGATTATCAGCAAACTTTGTAATGACAGGATTTTACAAGAAAAGCTAACTTTATTTTGAAGTTTGTCTTTTAAAAATCTGTACTCTGTTACAAGGATGTACCATTATATCTATTTTATAACCCAATATGATTTACACACGCTAAACCTGTAAAATTGAAAGGAATTAAAAAAATGTCGCCGTGCATTTGCTTGAGGTTATGCAGACGCTTTTACAAATCTTCCAAGTGGCTGTAAAGATGAATGCCTCGAGGGTCCAGCCAGGGCCCTGCTTTTCCAACCAGCTAAAGCCCTTATCTTAAATCCAAGCAAAGTACCATTAATCTTTCTGAAAGACCTTTTATGGCTTTTAATATATCCCAAATTAGAACATTTTACACCCTTGGTTCCTGAAATATGGTGATAAAAAGCCTTTAGAGCTTAATTTTCCTTACCGCATGCTCTGACCAATTTGCAGTTCTTTGTGATAATGTTTAGACACCTTAATTAAAATGCAGCAAAATATTGGATGTTCTATATGGAAAATGCTGATACTTTGGCTACACATACAAGAAATTCTGTATATATTTTTATTCATTTAAAAAAATTTCTTCCCGCATTGTGTTGCTGTAGTTATCTGATGACCTGAAACAGTTTTTGTTTTGTTTTGTTTTCATATAAAAACCATCGACCAAGCTTTTGTAATGTTTACACTGGGCATGAAGATGCATTTTTCTTTTTATAGAATCAAAAGGGGGATTCTTGTCGGCCTATTTTATTTGTTTGTAATACTGAAACACAGCACGATATTCTTTTATATTCTAGAACTCGGGTTAGTCGTCTTGACTGAGAAGCTGCATTTATTCTCAACCAACTCTTTTATAGAAGGTCTTATTATCCTTTTATATTTTCAGATATTTCTGTTCTTTTTTCTTTCTCCATAGAAATAAGTGAAACGTTCATTTTAAGCATGTGAAGGACACAAAAAGGCTATGACTTTTCATCATTATTACAAGCTAAAATATTTTTTTCTATAAAAAATACATAGACTAGGTTTGTTTAATGTTTATCAGTTGGAGAACATTCCATTTAACCTAACCCAAGGTAAAATACAGTTAGAAAACATACCTTTTACAGGAACAGGTCTGTTTGAACGTTTTGTCTATGCAAGTGATTATTTGTTATATTTATTTATTTCACAAAATGATGTAGCCCTCTCATGTGAATACTTGTTTAATGCATTCTACTGAATTATTTTTAACAAGTTCATACTATGTCTTAAGGAATGTATGCTCTAAATCTTTACTGAGGTGCTGGTTGTGCTGGATTTGGCCTTGGTGTTGCTGGAACACTAAAAGCTTTTACATTCTTAGAGTATATGACCATGTCGAGGTGAAAAGTCCATTGAAGTCAAATGACTGGATGTCCACACACACACTGACATGCTCTTTGGTTTGTCTATCTTTAGTCTAGGAAATCCATATGGGGAAATTTCAGTAAGTTACAAATGTAAGTTATATCTTAATTTATAACAGTTTTAGAAAATAATCTTCTCACATGGTTAATGGTACATGGCAAATAAGGTTCAGATAATTTTTGTTTCTTACCCAAAATATAGGCTCAATTTAAATACAAAGTAAACTAGCTGAGTGAGTCTTTTTTTAGGGGGTGGGTTTGGCAAAACTACATTGTATATCAAATTTTTATTTGGTACATAATATAATATATAGGAATGGAGTTAGTGGAAAAAGACAGATTGTTATATTTTACCTTTTGGGGATCGGGGACAGAAGAGAGACTAAATCATCCATGTGAATGTGGAGAGATGTATTGTGCATCTTAAACACAGGTAGCAAGCTGTGTTTTGTAGCAGAGACAGTTTATGAGGTGTATTTACTGCTTCCCTGGTGTCCCATTGTACCTCCTTATTTCCCAGCCCCTTTGCATTTTCGTGGAGCTATGTGAGTAGTTCTGACCAGTGGGTTGTGAGTAGAAATCACGTGTGTCACTTCTGGACTAACACATTTGACAGCCAGTGTGAGACTCTCCAGCTCTTTTTCCACCATAGTGTACCTGAAAACCACAGGTTGAGATGCTGGCAGCACAAGGTGGAGGAGAGCCCTGCCCATCCACAGTGACTTTAAGTGAAATAAGAAATAAAAGTTCAGCCAGCAGGATTTGGAGGTTTGTTTGATACTGCAGTGTTGACTGACCTAACCTGACAGGTACTTACTTGATTTTTTACGTGTATGACAAATGGATAATTTTTCAGTGGCTAGGAATTCCATTTTAATAATAAATTATGCCATAGCATCCTTCCAGATTTTCTTTTTCTCCTGAGATGATGATGCAACAGTCCTTTGATTCTAAGCCTTTCTTTGATTGACTTTCATGAAATTTTTTGTGATGAAGAACTGGGAATGAAAAGAGAACCAAAAGAACAAAGCCAGTACTGAAGCAGTCATAATTTGAAAACAAGCTCTGTTTAGTTCGATGCTGGATCTCCAGCACCTAGAACAGTGCCTGGCAAAATCATGCATCTGTGCCTTCATAAAATTTGTTGAAGTTAAATGAATGTCGTCCTTGTGAAAAATATGACAATGGCACTCGTGCCACTAATAATGGTTTGAGTTTTGAGAAGACGCTAAGGTCGGTCTGCATTCTCACATACGCTCTCGAAGCACAATTAATCATTCTTTCTTCCATAGCTTTCCTGTTGATGTTGACCAATTCAGCACCTTGGTTTGATTGTCAGCTTCCTTCCATTTGCTTATATTCTTTATGTATATTCTTTCCTGGACTGAAAAAATCAGATCTGTTTTTCCTGTCATTTGAAAACTTCAGCCAGTGCTTGATTACTCCTTGTCTGTTTCACCCTAAAGGAAACTGTTCTGTTCTCTAAGATATGTTGAAAGACATGTCAGGCATGCCAAACCTGCTTTCTTCAGTTGGCTTCTTTGTTTACACATGTGCTCTTAACTTCCTACTATGCCACATTATTGGCAAGCATATCCCTAAAACTTGGGCTTTAATATGATATGACTTTAGAGTGGCTTCCAGGCAGGTCATTTCTTCTCTTCCACAAGTCTGCCTGTCTACAAAAAATGCATTAGGTTGAGTGTAGGGGTAAAGAAGGCAAGAAACATCGGAAAGAGATTTTTAACCTTTGTTGTTTAACTTGGGTTCTTAACGGATACTCTTGAGCCATCCATATAGGCAGGCATTTTTAAAATAAGAGCCTTACTAAAATAGAAGATACTATCATGCTTGCCTTGGAGATACTTGCTGGGGAACAGTTGTGCAGTCAGAGAGCTGTGTAGAGCAGAGTGTGTAACTGTAAGGTATCGCACCGAAGCTGAAGGGCTGGAGAAATACAGAAACAAAGGACTGTTTAGGTTGAGTTAGAGAAGACCTCGGGGAAGGAAGAAGGGCTTCGTTTTGAATGGACCTCACAAGACTGTCAGATGGGTGTAAGGGGAACCTGCGCAGGGAGCACCTAGGTGCTGTGGTCCTCGTGCCCAGCCCTTTCACCTCTTAGCTCCTCTTATTTTCTTTTTTCTCTCAATGAATTAAAAGCGGTTGCCTGTCATACTAAGTGCATTTATGAAGTAGTAATTAGCTTTCCCATGTTTTATTAATCACATCTATGACTGCCAATCAGAGCTTCTGATCAGCATGAGATAACTGGTGTGACCATACTGAGTTGCTATAATTCTAGCCCACAGCAAAGAAACTTGATGTCTCTGTCAGTCTGTGCAGGCTTATCAGGGGTAGATTCCTGTTCAGCCTACTGAAATGCTAAAATAGCTCGAAGATCATCATTACTACCTTTGTGGACCCTTAAGGGGCCTGGGTTTGGGGAGGATTTTTATCCAGGATGCTAGTACAACTAGGGTAAATGGTCTGTTGGGAGGTAAGGAAAATATAGGCCATATCTATATATTTGTTATACTTTGTTTGAGGGGGCCTGAGTGTAGAATTTCTAATTTCTAGACTTGGCTTTCATGCCTGCAAGTTCTCAGTTATTTGTATTATTGTAGTTCTTATATTAGCTGGAATATTTATTTTTACTTTTTTTTTTTTTTCTTTCTTAGCTTGGTGTAAAAATTGCCAAAGCAGTTGCCTGCCACAATTTTGTAAAGGCCAAAAAGGAGGCTGAAAATTCACAGGCTGCTCGAAAAAAGAAGAAACTCGCATGGGGGTAAGTTCACTTAAGAATTTTAGTAGTAACTTTATTGACTTCATAGGAATTGCAGAAATCCCACTAATACATTTTGTGAATCCAGTTTGTGTATAATTGTTACTCATTTTACTCTTTACGTAAGTTAGTTTTACTTTGGTCTCTTAGTAAACATGTTACTTTAGCAAAGTATTTTATTTTAGAAATAAATTGAGATTTTTATGTTCTTTGTTTTAGGTTTGAAGCAAAGAAGAGATGGGAAACCAAAAGCAACATGGGATATATGTAACTTGCCAGAGTTCTTCAGGACATTTGTAGACTCAAGCACTCAATTTATTGAAAAGATTTTTTTTCTTATGTTAAATATGTCAGGAAATGGATAAAAGTAGAAAAAATAAGCATAAAATCTGGGAATTATTATCAGCTCTTCTCAATCTTTCTCTAAGGAGTTCATCTTATTGAAGTGAATGAAATGAAGCCTTCTGTTATTTGTGTAAGAAGTCTGAGCTTATGTGTGGGAAAAAAGGATAGGGCTTAATTTAGTTAGTTAGTTTTATAGATGTACAGTATAAAATCAATTTTGCTTTTTCATTCCATTTGGTGTAGCATAGCCAGTGAGCTCCTTGTACAAAGTACTTATCTGTACTGGGTATAACTGCACTTCTGCTTACTGGAATTGTGTTTTTAAGATTGGCATTTGTTTATAATGGATTAGTCATCAGTGCAAAAAAGTCTCAGTTGATACTGTCTTTACAAATGACTTGAATTGCCTTCATGTTACAAAAGTAATTATCGATTCTTTATTGGGTGCAGTAGAATTGATATTTCAGTCACCTAATAAAAGCAGCTGATGATTTTTGTGTACCTTCACATAAAATATTATAATAAAAAAGACAGAATATAGTATTTGGAAGATGATTTAAATTCAGCTCTGCCTAGAATTGTCTTCCTAAATGTCTCTCTCGGCCATGTCATTCTTTAAATTATGAGATGGTTCTTTGAAGAGAAAATAGTGTAATTGTGTTAAACAGACAGTTATAACTCAAGATATTGTAATTTTGAACCTTCTAAGAACCGATTTGTTTGTTTTTACTGCTCTTCCCCATTACTCCTTTAAAGATTGAATGAGTTAATGAGGATAAAGAGAGGATTGGTACCACAGGGAGTAGTTTTCACTAGATGTGTGTTTCATGCTGGTGACCAAGACTGCAGTGGGGTGGTTGGCACCTCCCCCTCGGTGCCCAGAGAGGTGAGGAGCTGCCAACTGTGGTTTTCGCCAGTTCTTGTCCTTCCCCCAGCCTTTGTCACAGGTTTTCTAGCTGTCTGGTAGAAACTTTCTCTGGTTTGATAATACAAATTCAGGAACATATAAAATGAGTTGTGATTATAATTATATTATTACGTTATTTTTAGGTTTAAAATAGTAACAAAATTTTATTAAGTTATGGTGGTACAATTAAGTTTTTACTATGTTCTGGAATAAATGAATAACTAGTTGCTACTTAAGAGTACAAAAACCATATCTTTCATTTAGTTGAGAAAATTCAGTGTAGAGAAAGCAAAATTTTAGGAGACTGCATAGCTATTAATTCATTATGAAAAGGTATCCAGACGAAATATTGGCAAATCTTATATTTTATAATTTAAAATCCCCTATTCTGTTTTATAGATATAATCGTTCACTGCTTACCTACAACATCCCATTTCAAACTGCCAATAGGTGAATACAAACTTTGTATAGTATAGGAATCTTTCCTATAAAAATCCATTGTGGGGGAAATATCCACTTCACAATCCAATGGTTTTTGTCTGAGACATTAAAAATGTTTTGAGCAGGCAGGTGATGTCGATATACTCACGCATAGGGCCGAGTCAGGCATTTCCACTCCTTAGAGCATTTCGTGATCCCTGCAGGCATGTTTTTCACTACTCATGCTGAGGCCTTGCCAGAGAGGCCTCCTTTAGGGTCTGATTTGGGAACCTCTAACCCAAAGTTCAGCTGCTGAGGCCTTCCTCAGCCCCCTCATTGCCCTGCTCAGGGTTCTCATGTAGGTGGGAGCATTTTAAATGAGTGGAAGGCATAGTGGCAGGATCAGACGTAGTGTGGGACTCATTTGATAAGGGAAGCCACATCTCATAAGGCCTCACTCTTTCAGGGACATGGGTTGTGAAAAGCTCCAAAACATGTTACTGCGGAGGAGGGAGTGAGAGGGAAAGATTTGGGGGAGAGGAAGGGACAGATATTCCTGAGTTGTTCCTGCTGGTATGTCATTTGGGACCAGTTTTGTTTGATCAGCTTAAATACATATTAGACATGTTACTCATTGAAGCAATAAAATGGGAACATTATTCCTAGACTACCCAAGTTGCCCAAAGGGTGTAGTTATCTGTCTTCTCCATTCTGGTCACAGCAAAATGAGGATTCTTTTTGGATCAGTAATAACTTCAGTTCCTGAAGCTTTGACATGTGCATTTACTACCACCAGAATGCCTGAATTAGATTAGTAATGTAAACGGCACTTATTGTTAACTGAGATTAATATGTTTTAGGCCATTGGTACGGCATTAATGTAACTATGATTTACTATTTAAGTACTTCAGGCTAAAACAACTTATTAAAGAACAGTAATTTTGAGCTTTACCTCATTGGTTCTAGAAGTGAAGTTGGTAGTGCATTCTTGTTTGGGAGCCCTCGGGATGTTTCTGATTTGCAGCAGAGCATTCTGTTTCTTTCACCAAAAGGAGAGTTTGAATATATAATCTCAGGTTTGCTATAATTAGTTCTGATGACAGAGTTAAATACCTCGGCCAAGACTGTAAATCAGTACTTAAGCAGGTTTCTGCAGCTGATCATAAATCTCAAACTCCATATTTTAAACACACATTTTTCTAGGCAGACAGATGAGGGAAGGGCAGGCCAAGGACAGGAATAAAATATTATCTAAACTTTTAACAGCTTTGATCCTCATGTTTAAAATCTACTGATTTCCTTTATACCTTTGGGTCTAAATTGTTATCTTTTAAATGTATTAATAACTTAGCTTATAATAACTTTATTAAGACAAGTTTTAATTTAGTTCTTAAAATATGAAGATGCAATTTTTTAAATGTCCAAATTTTCATTTGTTAGGTAAAGATATTGCTTTTTTAGAAATGCGTATCTTGCTCACAATGAAAAATATTGTATGAGGTTGATGTTTAAGATGCAAACTATGTGTTAGTTTTTAAAGAGATAATAACATTTGGGGAAATGAGCTGATGTTATGTCAGATCCCATTTTGGAAAATTAGTGGAACCTAGTAGTCAAATTCAGAACGAGCTGGAACAATTCAAGTTTTTTCATGTTGGCAGAAGTCATTTTTATTTTGAGTATCTGGCAGAGCAGCAAATGCTTTGCATGTCAATTTAATATTTTTTTCAAGCCAACTGTTTATTCATTGGCTTAAAATTTACACTCTACTAAAGTCTTCACTCTGACTTTCATGAAACAAATAGTAATATTTGGACAAAATATGTACATGAAAATCTTTTTTCCAGAACCAAATGTAGATTGGTATTTGTGGCATCAGTGCTTTCTAACATGGTAAGGGATCTGAAAGTACTTTGAAAATTTTAAGGCATTATAAGCCCACGGCAATGGGTTTCAAGTTATTAATTATTATTATTAAGTAATCAGAACATCTTTCTAGGTTTTCAAATTTAAATTAGCAGGAGACTTTATGCTACAAAGTAGATATGTGTTAGAGTAAGTTTCAATGAATTGTCAAGAGATTTTATCAATATGTATTTGTTCTTCACTTTTGTAGTATACTGAGACAATAAGGATCATTTTCCATTTTTGAGGGTAGAGTGCTCTCTAGATTTTGATAAAATAGCAGAACTACATCTTTAGTCTTTATTATTTTATCCTCCCTCCAAACTACTTACCCTAAAAGAAAAAAAAAAAAGGGATCCCACACACATTTCTTAGTGTTGGAGCTGTAGTCAGCACAAAGACTTACTGGGGAAGGGATTTTGACTTCAGTAAAGGACATGGCAACCTGTGGCAGATCAAGATTGCCAGGAAGAAATTTGGAAGGGAGTCAGACCGTTTTGCTCTAGTGTTAAAATGAAGCATGTCACCTCTTTAGCAGTATCTCCTCGTGAGTATTCTGGAAGTATGTGTTCACTTTGTGGAATTTCTTCAAGTACAGCGGTGCTGTCAGTAGCTTGCTGTCAGTAGCTTCCTGCCACACTGGTTTTTGTTACCTTGATCCCTGGAACACAACTACAGGCTTCTGGTGGGCAGTTTATTAAATGTCATGCAGTATGCTGTGTTTTTAGAGGGTCTCGTAAAATCAAGAATTAGCTGAGATAATTATCTTTTTATTAGTATTAGCAACCCCTTTTTAGATTGAAATAGAAAAAGCATAAATTTTCCAAGCAAGATGGCATTTTTAAGAAACCGAATTTAAGTACGTGTCTTTTATATCCAGACCAGGTTTCTTTAGGGAACACAGAATACAAAGGAATGAAAAGGGATGGGAGAGGGTAGTGCCTGAGAGAAGCCTTGGCTCCCAAGTGCTCCCACACCAGGCTCCTCCTGTGCCTGCTCACTGGCACCAGCCTAGCTGCTCCAGCCCACACCTCCCCGCCCGTGGGCTGCCTCTTGCCAAATTGCTGCAGGGGGCCTGCTGTGTGACAGGTATGGAATGAGGTAATCTTTTCCCACCTCTAATTTCTGAAGGGTGTGTCTGTCCAGTTATTACTTGTTCATTGAGCTTAGCTTTAGAAACCAACAGCTACAGTATAAGCTGTAATTATTGATGTCTGTTTCATATTCATCTGTAAGTTCTGGCATTCGATCAAGAAGTTAATATATCACTTCATCTTCAGGTTGAATGTGCCTCAGCTATAAAGGTTTTATTGTTTGATGGATAGCATACAATTATGACTGCCCAGAATAAAGTGTTTTCATTTATAAGGTGGGTGATACTAGAAGAAGTAATTATGAATGTCACAAAGAATAGTGAAACAACGAAGCTTTGCATTTCTTTGAATTCCTCCCTACGTAATATCTGAGAAACACTGAACACCTACTATGTGTCAGATACTAAACTGACTCTTCCATATGCAAAGATGAGTAAACATAGTCTAATGGGAAGTACATGTAAATCATGTTTGGGCAACTTGGTTCTTAGCTGGGCTATTAAAAAATCAGTGACTTTTTCTTTGCTGAATACAAAGAAATATTCTTCAAATAATAAACTAAATAACCTAGACTAAAAGTTTTCATTACCCGGTATATATCCTACAGGTTGCTGAATTTCCTCACTGGGTGGTTAGCTGCACGTGGTCACTAGCTTAGTAGCTGAGCCATGTGCTCGGGTCAGACTGATTTCTTAGGCTCACTGTAGAGGTGAGTCCGATGGGCTGTGACTGAGGAATGAATGCACCTGTCTGTTCTGCACATTACTCGTTTTAAGCTTAAAGATTTTCTTAGATTGTATCAACATGTCCTTTACTTTAGAATGGCTGTGTCGCAGTGCCTGCCCATATTAGGGTAATGCTAGCTACTGCAACAGATATGCCCCCCAAAATATAATGACTCAAGCACAAAAGAAGTTTATTTCTTGCTCATGGAACAGAGGAGAGTGTTCCTATCAACAGGGGGCTCTGCTCCATGCATTCAGAGACCTGGGTTGACAGTGGCTCTCTACCCTGTTTCCCAAATAATCCTGGATGTCACTGTCTCAGTCAGCTGAGAGGGGAAAGAGCACTCCTTGGGAAATTATGGGCCTGGCCCAAAGTGGAACCCCTTACTTCTGCTCACCTTGCACTGGCTAGAATATGTTACTTCACCACACCTAACTGCAAGGGAGGCTGGGAAATGTAGACTGGCTGTTTCCCAGGAAGAGGAGGAAATAAATTTTAGTAAAGAGCTAGCAGTATCTGCCACACTGTCTCAATCACATATGACCTTGAAGTAGTACCTTTAAGTTTTGCTGATGTTAAATAGCATGAACTGCTATTTGTGATTTGGCTTAGTCATTTTTACTTGGATGTGTTGACAGAGCTGAGTCAAAATAGCCACTCACTTTACCAGGTAGTATGCATTGGTATCAAGAGTATGCCAGGTGCTGAAATGGTCACACGCTCAGCGAGACAGAGGCATGTCATAGTGTGCATAGTGTGTCATAAAGGGCTGCTGGGACTTCACCAGGTAGACAAATTGAAACAAGAACATCCCAGGCAGAAGGAGCATCATGACACATTCAAGGCACAGCAAGGACTTTAGCATGGGGGGGTACATGAGAGCAGCACAAAGAGACGATGCTGGAACCAGTGTGCACACAGCTGTGTGAGACACACTAGGGAGTTTGGAATCGTGGGAGGGGGTGCCTCTGGATGGTGGTGTGGGAGAGTGGGAGAGCAGGCTTTTGATTAAGAGTAATGTCATAGAGGTAACTTGGTCATATCAAATTAGACATTTAGTAATACTACATTCAGTAATGTAGGTCTTCAGACTTGCTGTGTCAAGGTACCTGTGTAATGTCCTGGAAATGTCAAATGGACAGTTATATGCAGAGATCTGGAGGTCAGAAGAGGGAGTTGTCACAGAAGACAGGTTGAGGAAAGAGGTTTTAAAAGGTGGCATGTCAACAGCAGCAAATGTGCTGAGCTGTCAAACAAGGTGGTCGTAGAGAGGTGGCTGTAGGGTTAGCATCAGATGGTGCTGGTGATCTTGGCCAATCAAACATTCAAGCCAGGATGGCAAAAGATGGTGTCTTAGGTTGGGTTTCTTAGAAGCAGTGCCTCTTATAAAGATGTGCACTTCAGGAAAAACTTGGAAGGAGAAAAGCTGACGAGGAACGGCAGTAGCTAAACTGGGCAAAGCCTTGGTCTGATGCGCGGGGGGCCTGTGAATCCCGTAAGGGAGCTGACCTTCACACCCTGTGGCTCAGTCAGCGCCTGGGGCGAACGGCGCAGCTTCACTGGGCAAGGTGGCCTCTCTGTGAAAGCCTCCCCTGGGGGAGGCCAATTCTTCAGAAACACGGCAGCTGTGAACTGGGAGCAGCCGTAACGGTAGCCGGGGGATGAGTGTGCTGAGCCAGTGAAGGGATCCGAGCATGTGCTGCCCACGGCTACCCAGATGAGAGGAGCGGGAGCGTGTGAGTGGGTGGTGTGCACGTGCAGACAATCCTGGCACAGATACTGGGTCGAGATCTACTCAGGGAGATGTATTTGGACAAACGGCATGTAGCGGACTCGAAGTCAGAGGGTTTAGATAACCTGCCCCCTACCCGGTTGTCATGATTACATGAGAAATAGATATGCCTGATCGTGCTAGATCCAAGCCTGCTGGATCTGAAATAATAAA